GAGCTCCACCATCCACAGTACACCGAGCTTTCTAAATTAGCCCTGGCCAAAGTTCGTATTTCACAATCCACTAAATAGCTTTCTTATGGATCATAAGATGAACATATACTGAGTGATGCAACCGAGTTTATAATATCTTCAGTATAAGGTGAACACTTTCTAACAGATCATGACATTATCAAAGTGCTATTTGAAATTAGCTCCATATGCTGTAGCAAGGCTGTAAGATTTCACCCAGAATTTCATTTTCAAATGTTTTTCATTCAAGTTCACTGAGGGTAAATTGGAAACACTTGGGTATATCCCACTTACGGATCTGTTAAGACCCACTTAATTTTAACACGTGGGTGTGTGGAGAGAGAGGCAGGAGAGGAAAAGTGTAGGATGGGGTGAGTGGGAATAACTCTATCTACTGATGTCTTCTGAAAAGCCGGACAGCGTGTATTTGCTAACACTTGCACGAGTGCTGCTGTGCAATCCACACTCTCTAGTTCCAGGGCTTTTTGAGAAAGGTGAGATCTTCTCGTGGAGAGGCTGGGAGCCAGCCTTTGGTCTCTGCCGGGTTGTGGCAGGGGGTTAAGCGAAGGAGTTCGCTCTGAGCTCCGCCACGGTTCAGGAGCCAGTTGGCAGAGGCCACCGGAGAAGAGCCAACGTAGAAATACGCTGGGTCTGTGCTGTTGCTGGCAGGGCTCCTGGCTGGGTTTAAGCCTGCCTTGCCAAGCAGAGGTCTGCTCAGGAGGGCTTGCGAGCCGTGTGGGGAACTGCTCACTTCGCCTTATCGGGCTCTGCAAGAATCATAGAATCATATAAGAGAAACGTGGTGGGGTTTTGGTGTTTGCTGGGCAGTAAGTGCATCAGAAATTCTAACTGGCTTTAAATTATTTATTCTCTTTTAAAGATCCTTTATGAAGAGGATGTTGCATTGAGGAATTCATGTTTCTTCCCTCAGCAGCTTGAGCAGCTATGGGTTCAGGCTATAATATTTAATTATGGACAGAAGGACTAAGTATTATTAGCATGAAGTGTCTCGGTACCCTTCTAGTCCTATTAAATATACCCAGCTTCAGTGGTGCTGATAGTATTTTTGTAGGTTAACTAATTTCCTAAAAATTCCGGGTTTTCATCACATTATTTCTAGCCGATTTTCTGTCCTAGACAAGATATTCTCCTAAGGGGAAAATGTAGAAGAGAGCTATCGAAGGCATAATCTAGCTGTTTTAGGGAAGCACCAGGAAATGCTGTGCAACAGCTATTGCAGTTCCAACAGCACATCAACTGGCAGAAACAAGAATGTCAGGGGAGTTGATTGCATAGCTTATCCATGTCTAGAAGGATATGGTTTTCATTTCGAAAATGCTATTCATCTAAAATCTGAAATTCTCATACCCACAGCATGAGTGTTTCTGAGTTTCGCATCAGAGCCTGGAGTTAAACACACGTGTGCACCTTTACATCTGGTGCTTTTATGAATCATTTTGAGGAACTGTTACTAAGCAGCAGCAGCTATAGCGGGGCTCCATTTTATAAAGAGGAAGGGCTGTGTTACTCATTTTGTTTCCAAAAAATTCATTTGTTTTGCATTCCCAGAAGGTACTTTTATTCTCCCAGAAAGGTCAAGCAGAAACATTGATGTAAGTCCTGTTTATGGCAATCTTGTTAGATTTCCAGCAATTGCAATGGAACATATTTATAACAAGTATGTTTCCCTCTAGGGTGATACCATTAGTCAAAATATGCTTTCTCATATTTCCACTACATAAACACAAATACCTTTCAAGATTCAAACTTACTGGTCTTGAGGATTCCCACAGCCACATCTCATTAGTGGTTCAGAAGGCCGTGCTAGCCATGGTTTCAATTTGGGATGAAAAGGTTTTGTTAGGAGAAATAACTTCAACCAAACTAGAAGGTTGAAAAACAGGATAATATTCCATGTGTGGGCTGTTGTCCTGAGCAAAACAGCAACCCTGAGAAGTCTGATACTTTAAAACATACAACTCGTGATTCAACGTGCTACGGATCCAGCCAGGTTTGATGCTTCAGTCTGTTATGGTATTGTGCCATTTCCACAGCATTTAGCATCTCACAAACTTATGCTCAATGCACTGGTAATATATCTGTCATCCCTGGTGCAGCGTAGCCACTGACTCTGTATTTGGTCCTCTAGAAGCATTCCTAAATCTGTTGGTTTCCTAGCAGAAACTGTAAAGAAGCAAACTTTCCATAGATACTACAGGAACAGATTTGACAAATATAACCCAAACTGCATTACTGGGAAGACTGCAGAGTTCCTGATTAACATAGCCATGATGACGAATGAGCTCTGTGTCCCCGCTTGCATTTCATTTCTTCATTCGCAAGACTTATGTTGAAATAATGTGACAGCATTAATCTAGAGAGTGTCCAGATAGAGGCAAATACCAATTGAGATGAAATGAAATTTTAGATCTCAACATAATAATCAACTGAGTATGAGCTAATTATTGAAAGAAAAGCAACAGGCTCTTAGCCTCCTGTGAAGTCTCAGGAGGATTTGTCTACAGTGTGTTTCAGCTGTCTTCTTGCAAATTCATCTCAGTCTGAATAGAGCCGGATAGAGACACAGAAACTGTTTTGGTAAGAATTTCAGAAACAGGACACTCTGAATGCTACTTTTAAGTCAATCTCATTGATATACATGGAACAAAAGTGATTAAGACTTGGAAGTGCAAAAATGAGTTTTCTTCCTGCTGCTGCAGTTGAAGTGCAGCTGTTTGAAATGCAGACCCCCTTCTCAGGGTCTATCAGCAAGTTCATTAACTATTTGGCAGCAACAGTGCTAGCTGATCTTCAGTGTCCTAGGATTGAAGGGAGTTGAAACACAATTTCAGGATGAAGTTCCAAGGAATAGCATTAAGGTCGTTGTTATGTATCACTATGTTAAAAACACTAACTATAATTCAACAGGAAAAAACTGGCAAAATACTGCCTACTTCAGTCTGCCAATATTTATAAGCACTCCTGGGGCTCATCGGCATTAGAAGAGAAGAGTGAATCTAGTGGTTATGTTATGTTCCGAAAAATTTGGGCCAAAACTTGTTTTTCACACAGCATTTCAAGAAAATTATTTTGTTTTTCCCACAGATTATAATGGACAATTGACAATAAATTGCATTTTTCTCAGGGTCATCAGCCATAATTCACAACATCCATTACATCCGTAGCAGTCAGAATGGAGACTAGGCAGAGCTTGCATAAGGCAAGAGAAAAATGATTTGGACGGTCAACAGCAGGCTTAACCGCTACACTTGTTTTTTGTACGCTGAAGACAGAAGGTGGTAATTGTAGGTATTTTCTCATGTCCTGTTTTTAGATGGAATAGATTTGGAGATTAATGATAGGGTGAAGAGGTCATTTGACCCTGATACAGCTTTATTGCTTTCATAAAGCTGCAGCAGGACTCAGTTGTGTCCCAGTGAACAGAAGTTGCTGTAACTTTGGGCTGAAGCTACTTTCACAGAATCACAGAATTTCTAGGTTGGAAGAGACCTCAAGATCATTGAGTCCAACCTCTGACCTAACACTAACAGTCCCCACTAAACCATATCCCTAAGCTCTACATCTAAACATCTTTTAAAGACTTCCAGGGATGGTGACTCCACCACTTCCCTGGGCAGCCTGTTCCAATGTCTAACAAGACTTTGTAACTTTGGGTTGTATGCCAGTGTAGAGGAGAGAAATAGTCTCTGCTAGGAATTAAGACCTGAGTTTGAAAATGAGCTGCAGTGCAAGCAGACTTTCACCAGCACTTTGCCAGTTGAAAAAACAGGAATAAAACAATGTGGATAATGTGGTCTTTCCTTCTGATTGCTTCAACGATATTTCATCAGCTATAGACTTCTCTATACCCATAGCTTCTCCACCACCAAGTCTTTATCCAGATAATCAAAGTGAAGGAGATGTACACTGGAATTGAAGGCAACATAATAAAGAAAATGGACGTTATCTTCATAACATAAATAAAATTAATTATCTGGTAGAATACTGTGTAGAGAAAGAGCCAAAGAGCAGTGCAGTTAACTAGAGCCTGCTAAGGACATTTGGGAAGAGGTGCCTCTGGGTGCTTACCGCCAGAAAATGATGCCCTGCACGCATCGCAGTCATTGCTGGAGTATGTCTGTTACTGCTGAGGTGGCTGAGCGTTGTGAAAAGTAAAACAGTAGGGAAGAGCTCATGATTGATTGACTTTTGAAAGAGATTAAAGGATTAAATAATTATAACTTGGATAAATGACAATTAAGGAGGAAAAAGACTTCGAGAAGTAATTGCAGTTGAGCTCCGCAGAGGGAGTTAGAACTCTTCAGTATTTTCTATGGGGCTACAGGTAGGAAATTGAGAAAAGAACTTGAGGGTGGAATCAGAAATTTGGCCCTTTCCAGTCAATCTAGTTAAGGTGGCACAAACTTCATCACTGAGTCCTTTATAGTTCAATGTTGTATATTTTTTATATTGTAGAGGATGATCTGTTGCTGCCTGGCATGCAGACTAATCCTAAGGTACTTAATAGATGGGTTTTGTCTTCTGTGTGTCTGCAATGCTTTCTATGCATATGCTGCTTGTAGATGAGGAAAAAGCTCGTGGAATTGAACATTCATAAACTATGTTATGTTTTGTTTTAGGAATTATCTGATAGGTGTATTAGTAGATGCTTATGGAATTTTTCATGCATTTTCTGAATCAGGAGTTAATATAGTTATATGTTACTTAAAAGAAAGCACCACAAAATTGCTTCTAGGACCAGCTAAACTTCTGTATACCTTGGAATTGTAGTTTTAGAAAAAAAAAAAAAGAAAACAAAACAAAACAAAAAAAGAAAAAAAAAACAAAAAACAAAAAACAAGCAATTCCGGTATCCTAGCAATGGCCACATAGCTGATTACAAATATCAGACTTCCCGGGGTATTATGGAATTCATTCTACTAATCTAATTTAATTAATTCTGTCTTCAAACTGATTTCCAGACTGACACATGTTCTGAAGCTGGGAAGAAACATCAGATGCAAATGAGGCTGGAGCCTCCTCCAGGAGATGGGTATGCATTAATGGAGAAAAGAGTAAGAAAACACATCAAGTCAGTAATTATGGTACTGATTTTTAAAAAATACCTAAAAATGAAGCTCATTTTTCTTACAAAGCCTCTCTTGGCAGTTTGTGGAGGAGGTAGCAGTATGTTTGAGAGGTTTCTACAGCACTGGCATTTATCATGTAGTTGAATGCAGTGGAAGATGTGAGGCAGCTAGCTAGGCAAGTATGTACGTTAGTGCTCAAGAGAGCTCTATCTCAGGAATAGCAAAATCTGATAAATCTTTCCAGCACAGAGGTTCACGTTGTGCTTTACTTTCACAGGTTGAATACCAGTGTGCTGCTGGGGTCACACCAGATCAGTTCTGTGGTATATCTAGGTGTTTTATCGGTATGAAACCATGAACAGGGGAGAGGGAGGAAGAGGAAAAAAAAAAAAAAAGTGCAGTAAGACAAAATAACATAAATAGAAAAAGATAATTGCCTTTTTCATGTAACTAGTTCTGTAGACTAGAGAACATTGACTTGAGTGTTAAAAATGCCTCCCTTTCAATTCATTATAGACAGTTCCTTGCAGTGATTAGTCCAAAACAGTGTGTTCTGTGCCAGTGATCATTAATGTGCGCTCATCAGGTCATCAGACTTGAAATCCACATTGCTGGATTTCTGGCATCTCGATCCTGTGCAAGTGACTGGCTCTTCTTTAAGCCTTGACTGGTAAACATGGTGCTCTTGATGATCTTCCCCCAGACTAAGCTTTCACCAGGAGAGTAGTTACCCTAGACCAAAATAAATTTGTATTCTGTATTTTGCAAAGGAAAATACTGCAAGGCCCATGAATACTGTACTCAAGTCTATACCTTCAGTATGAACTAAAAACACAGTTGTGCTATTCTCCTTATTTACTTGAGAGTTGTCCTTTTTAACTGCCCCAGGGACAAAAGTAGTAATTTGAAATTTGCATCCATATTATCTGTTGCCTTTCCTATCCATATGCACTGTCTCCAAGAGCCCAGGGCAAAGATGCCATTATGCTCAGTCACCAACAGGCCAGGTGCAGTCAAGAGATCTAACAGAATGTTAATAAAAGACCTGATGAAGAAGAAAAAACAAACAAACCTGCTATTGTGCCTGTAAGAATTGCTGCTACCAGGAAATTAAAACATTACGCATGGCATATGCTGCCTGCCTACAGTCAGCACTGCTGTGCAGGTCTGAAATCGTGTCTGCCATGGCCAAAGATCTGCAAAACAATCAATTTGCAAAACCTGGTGAGTTTACACATTGCCTGTATCTCATTCTTGAAAGATGGTGTTGATTTAAGTTTAAAAAAAAATAATAATAATGTTTTGCCAACGCTTCACTGCTTTCAGAAGACCCAAAACTTCACAATATTTTCTTTTAAAAGTTAAGGAAATAATTAACTGGCTACAAGTGTGTTTATCTGGTTTCAAAGCTCATCAGTGAGAGGGAAAATAGATACCAGGGGTTGACTGAAAAAGATATAAATGAAAAAATAAAACAAACACCATAAAATACAGCTATTTAAGAAGCCAGAAACTGGTGTCCTGCTACAGTACACATGTATGAACTGGGTCAACGTAAGAATCAAGGATCAAAAGGACTGTACTTCTGTTGGAGGTTCAATGACATTGTTCCCATTTCTGTCTGCACGTCCTGGAACAGAACTGGGCTCTGATTTGTAGGGCTGCTGGTTGGGATCGTGTGGGCCAACACGTTGTAAGAAGCCATGAATAAACTTCAGGAGCTTGCTCAGCATGCATCATGGCTGAGGACCGGTGAAGCCATTTGGCTTGGGAAATGCTTCTGGTTTGGTTTTGAGAACTGCACTGACACTTAACTGATTTAAGCCACCAGAAAGGAAGCTTTTCTTTTATTTGTATTCTCCTTGTGAAATTACCTGTGCTGCAACTATTACGTGCATGCCCATTTTGAAGTCCAAGGTTTGTGTAGCACCAAAGCAGGAGCACATCGTGCTCTTGGCATTGCTGGAGCTGCTGTACAACAGGTCCGTACCCGGGTTTTGTCCCCAGCCTCCCTTTCCTTCTTCTGAGGGTGCCACACAGGGCAAGGACTCCATATACTGGAAAAATGCAGAGACTTAGTCATTGTGGTGTCAAATAGTAAATGTCTGTGATAAAAGTTTATGGTTCACTTGATAATTTCAGGGCAGGAAGGAGGATGGGGATGACGGGTTTGTTGTAAGTATCTGGAATTAAATCTGTTTTGGTATTTTGCCCTTAAAAGATAAGGCATGGTATGTATTAACTGTCCTATTAAAAGGATGCTATTTAGGGTGCAAAATGAAGAACTCGAAAATAGGGAATGTCGCATTTGTAGCACTTCATGTGACTTTTTACCTAAACCTGTAGCACAAATGTGTTTATTAAGATTTCTGATCTCTCTGGGTTATCTGAAGAGAAGAGTTGAGGGGAAAATATTTCAAACGATATTTGGGCAAGGCTCTAAATGTGATACAACCAGCTTATGATTTTTCCTTGAAACCTTTCTTATGACTTATCTTTCTGTAGTCACCAGCACGGAGACCCATATCAGAGCGCTGTCTGTCCCTCTGGAGAACGAGCAGCTACAGAACTGGCTGGCCTGCAATGCAGATCGGTATCATGCGGACTCCGGCACCCTCTAATGGTGTAAGCACTCGTTCACCATATGTTCCTATATAGTTGCAGACAAGATGCCTGCACTTGTAGTAACGAGACAGATTTTGCTGCAAATGGCTGCTTTTTCACTTGGTGATCATTACGAGTTTTGTAATATTCGAAACGGCTTTGCTTGCAATCTGGGCTGATAGACCCTGTTACGTGCTCCGGATACCCTGCACGTATTTCCACATCACGTTGTGATTAAATGTTGAAGTGGTGGCTGAGGCATCTGAGAGAGCAGGAAGCTGGCGATGACTCAGAGCAACGATACCATGCAAAGGCAGGGCAGATACTGCCCTGCCAAAGGAAATTGGGAAACCTATGGGGTGTGGGGGGATTCAGTCCACTTTGGTTTTAATATTAGTGATAGGCTAGTTGTCCAAATGCCTGTTGTCCCAGAGCTGTAGAGAGAGATCTTAAGCTGGAATGTACAACCACGGCTCTACTCACTTCAGCAGAGCTTTTCAGATTTATATTAGGTGAGAACTTCCTAACAGTTTCCTTAATTTACTTTATCTACTGCAAGATAGTATCAGAATGCTATCTTATTATGTGGATAAATGTATGATGAGACCATTGTATGTGTGCACAAACTCACGTAAAATGCAGAAGTCACAGTACAGAGCTGCAGAGTCCTTCCAAATGCAATGAAAAATAGGTTTTCCCAGGATTTCCAGGAAAGGAGAGGGCATTGATACGTAAATATGACATCTTAGGACATGTGGAGAGTTCTTAGTGAATATGGCAAAGTGCATTTTTCTGGTAGACTAGTACCAATCAATTCTCATTAAACTTTAGCCCTCTCCCACTACTTAGCTAGAAAAATGGGAAAGAGAAGGGAAAGCTTTTGTAAAATGTGACTCTCTGAGAATTCACCAGTACAAGTAACAGGATCTCTTTTGAAGTCTGAAGATGATCAGTTGCGTGCAATTTTTCTTTTTAAAAGTGTTCTGTAATCCCGTCTCCTTGGCCGATTAGACCTTTGAACTTTTTCATATGACAGCAGTCGGACAGAATTGCTGAGTCCCAGCCTGTTTGCAACAAACCATGAAGGCTGCCAGGAATTTCCAACCATGGCAAAAAGCTGCTCCTGCCTTTGTGAACCATGTGAGCTGTGGTTCACGCTGCAGTAACTACACACAACAGTCTGGACAACAGCCAAAATGTTAATTAGCAGTTACAGAGCCTGTATGGGCTGGCCCTGGACCAACACTATTTTTTTTCCCTCTCTGTAATCAGCTGTTTCATTTCCATTTCTTTCTGAAAAATCCTAGTCTAACTATTCTGCGGAAGCTGGGGTGCAGCATTCCTGATATAAAGCCCAGATCAGATAGGATTGGTCTTAGTGTGCCTTGGAAGATTGATCTAGTTACTGTGGTCCATAAGTAAATGATAAAATGGGCCAGCTTTCAGGCCTGCTGGCCCTTTTCAGATCACAAGGGCAGGTGGGAATGTGGGGCTCTCAGCTGACAGCCACAGGTTGTCATTGGTTCTGTTTTAAGATTGTGGATTATCACAAATTCTTGGATGTCTCTATTACTGATAAGCAATGGATAATATACCTGGATATAAATCTCTCTGACGGTAACAAACATTTTGTGTTTATTTTACACACACCAGGTCAAAAGTAGTTTCAAAAGTGAAATCTTCACAAGCCTTGGCTTATTGCTATTTATGACTGCTTTTTAGCTATCTTTCCACATACCTACAGAGCTTAAATTAGAAAGTTATGCAAGGTTTTGAAATGAACAGCAGTGGAAGTAACTTACCTGACTTTGATTTTCTGGAGTTGGGTGTCATTTTGAAATATCTACTGTAGTCTGTGCTCAATTTCATGTTCAACACTGAAAATATAAACTACAGTTTGTAGTCATGACTTTTAAAAGGGCAACACAATTAAGGATTTTCTTCCATATGTAGGTTTTCCTTGGAGCTTTTCCTCATATGAGTAACAGCCATTTTGGTGAAATTGGAACATGTAGTCCTTTAGAGTTTTCTGCAGTAGAAAAGTTAAGTTTAAAGCTGTTTTAAATTACCCTAAAGCTGCTAGTACTTGATTTTTTCATCTTCATTAGTTAGTGCTGGATTCTTTGACACTAGTTTTAAATAGTCTAGTCATGCAGGTGGATGAAATCACAGCTTTTTGAACTCTCAAGAAGTTTGCTTCCCTGTTTAAAGAGTTGTGTGGTGTATATTATCAGAAAACTGCTCGTGGTCAGAATGCAACTTTATAGATTAAATATAAATATGGGTTAGGATAATTCCATGTTTCCTAAACCACTCTTGTTAATCAGGCTACTTGTAGCTGTTGTAGTTGCTATGGAGCCTGATTATGCTGCACATCCAGAGAGTGCTTTCTTTACTGTATAAAATTGGCTGTAACTCAACTTCAGATTCAACACTTATTTTGAATAACATCTCTAGTGTTGATTTCTGAAAAGGGCACAAGGTAGCTTGTACCAGTTATAAGCAACTCCAGCTGGCAATTTCAAGTGGGGAGCTATTATTTGAAATACACATTAAAAAAAAAAAAAAAAGTATAAAAATTGCAAGATTTCAAGGTCGCATTATTATTTTTGTTTTAAAGAGCTGTATTTGGGAATCTCAAACCTCAGATGAGCTTGTGTTTATATGACTAAGTCTCCCCTGGAACCCCATGAAACAGAAGAATTTTGAAGACGATCCATGTGGATCTTAGAACACATAGAAAAACTGGCTGTTGAACAAAAAAAATAGTCTTAATTTTATTTACAGAGGTATTATCTGAAAATGTCTGCTCACTTTTACAGAGTTCCACTGCTATCTGTTGGGCAGGTTGCCTTCCTGCCTCATAAAAACAGGCATGAAAAATGAACCATGGATGTGCTGTGCCTCCCATCTATATGATCGGTAGTTCTGAGATTTAGGGAGAGGAAAGATTCAACGTGTTGCTTAAGGTAGAGATTTAGCTCACAAAAGCTGTTTTTAAGTCTTACTGTTGGAAAAACATATTGCTGGCAAAATTGTTGGCTTCTCAGTTCTGTGCAGTGTGTGGAAGGAGGAGGAGGAGGCAAGCAGGTGTTCACATCAAATGATTCAGAATCCTCAGAGCATCTTGTTTGCTTGTCCCAAATCTCCTCCTGAATGCCCTTGAAGGGGGCATTTCTCTTTCCACTGACTTTAGCTAGGACCTAGACTGTGGATCTCAGTTGTGGGATGCCTGAGATTCAGTGTTTACGGTTACAGGCAGCTCAGACCAATGAACGTTATGATCTCTTCAAATAATTTTTGATAGTAGGGATTATCCAAAAGGCTGGTTAGGCTGGACCACAATCAGAAATTTAAAACAAATACCAGAAAGTTCAGATTTGTACTGAGCACAAAGTTTTGTAGCCTGGACAAGAAAAGAATAATGACCTTATAGACTCTGAGTGGGGCAGAGAAGGAGATTAAGGTAGCTGTCACCTCATTACTGATCAAATTTTTTAACAAAGGTTGTAGGTCATCTTCATCTTAAAACATTAAAAGAAATAAATTTGAGACTACAAGTGTGGTCCAAGGATTTGTAATTGATGTTGAAAGTAGGATTTTGGCAGGAGAATGGCAAATGCAGTATCTACACTCAAAAAGAGGGAAAATTTGATAGAGACAGACTGCAAGCTTGATACCAACAATAGGCAGTCTATTCCAAGGGGGGAAAAATAAAGAGGTGACTGGAAAGTGTGGCAAATTGCACCAGGGCTTTATCAGCAGTACATTCTGTTTGATAAATCTCTCTTGATGAGAAAACTAATTTCCTTAACAGGGGCAATACAGTGGATTTAATTGACTTGAAGCATTAATTCAGAACACGTTGCTGAATGTGGAAATGACAGATTCCTATGGGAGTTCAAAGGTGGTTGTGGAACAGGCTTGGGTGAAATGTGGGGAGCTGAGATGGTGTTTTTGTTTTTTACATCAAATGCCATGTTATCAGCTTGTAGAGGGGATGCTAGTTCTGTTCCACAGGTTATCTTGAATCTCATGTTACTGTGTAATCTGGCTTTGAGCTGAGAAGTCTGAGAGTACAGAGTTGGTGGTGTCAGCATAAGGTATTCCACAAGAAAAACTAGATGAACAAGATGAACAAAGTACAAGTTGCGTAATTACCAATAAGAAGAGCTTTTACTATAAGGACTCATCCACCACAACACACAGGAACGACACCTGAGTGTATGAGGCCTATGAAGTGCCACAGGGATGCCGTGTGAAGAAAACAAGATGTACGAGGAGCTGCTGAAGGAACTGGAGGTGTTGAGCCTGCAGCAGAGGAGGCTGAGGGGACCCCTTACTGCTCTCTACAACTGCATGACAGGTGGCTGCAGCAGGAGGGTGCCGGTCTCTTTTCTCAGGTGATAAGCTATAGGACATGAGGCAATGGCCTCAGGCTGCGCCAGGGGAGGTTTAGATTGAATATGAGGAAGAATTTCTTCCCAGAGAGGGTTGTTGGGCATCAGAAGGGGTAGCCTTGGGAGGCGGTGGAGTGCCCTTTTGGAGACATGTGGATGTGGTGCTTAGGGACATGGTGTAGTGTTGGACTTGGTAGTAAAAGACATTTAGATGTAGAGCTTAGGGATATGGTTTAGTGGGGACTGTTAGCGTTAGGTCAGAGGTTGGACTCGATGATCTTGAGGTCTCTTCCAACCTAGAAATTTTGTGATTCTGTGATTCTGTGAGCTGACGGCCGGGCTTGATGTTAGGGGTCTTTTCCAAACTGAACGCTTCTGTGACTCTAGGACAGGCTGCTCTGCTTCCCGGGGCTCTCCTCACAGGCAGGGGCGAGGACATAGCGCGGGTGCGCAGACATAGCGCTCTGGGCTCCTCGTCTGGCCTTAAACTAGGGCAAAAACAATAATAATAATAATAATATAATAATAATAATAATAGTGTGTGCAGCGACTCGTGTAACTCCACCAGCACCACGCGTCCCTCAGCGCCCCTCAGCGCGGGCCCGGCCGTTACCGCCGCTCCCCTCACGCCTCAGCCGCGCCGCCAGGGGGAGCCCTGGGCTTCAGCGCCCGCTGCCGCCCGCCCCGGCTGCTCGGGCGGGGAACATGGCCCTGTCGCGGGGGCTGCGCTGCTGCCAGCGGGCCTTCGCCTGGCTGCCCGTCCTCATCATCGCCCTCGTCGTGCTCTGGTCCTACTACGCCTACGTCTGCGAGCTCTGCCTGGGTGAGCCGCGCTGGGGGCGGGCGGGGCGGGGAGGGAGCGGCCCTCAGCGGGCCCCGGCCTTCGGCGGGGGGAAGGGGGGGGCCGAGCCGGGCTGTCAGCCGCGGGCCCGCTGTCTGTCGGTCTGTCTGTGTGTCTGTGTGTCTGTCGGTGTCGGGGGGGACCCCCCGCTCCTTGTCTCCTGTCCCCCGGGGGCTGCCGGCAGCGCTGCGGCCTCTGGGGGAAGCTGGGGGGATGCGGGGCGCCCTGAGGAGCCGCGGCGGTAGCACGGGGACAGCAGGGACAGGCGGAGCTGCAGCTTAACGCAGCCCTGAAGCCGCAGAGTAAGTTGTGAACTTTCTGCTGGTTCTTGCGCCCTGGCACGGGGTGGGTGCAGAAAGCCTTCCCTCGGAGGGGCTGGAAGAGGGGGAGGCAAAAAGCTGGGGGGGGGTCCCCTTGGGCAGGGCACAGTCAGGGAATGGGGCAGAGGCTCTGGGAAGGGCACCTTGGGCTGTGTCTGGCACAGCAGCCTGGAAGGAGGTGACCACAGGGGTGGTGCTGCAGGGAGAGCTATTGTTTCTTCTCCATGGGGACAAAAAAAAAAAAAAAAAAAAGCTTTCATCTGGTTTAATTTGCAGCTGAGAACTCCCAAGTACTCCGTGACGTTTTACTCCATCTCTAAAACTGGGGGCTTTTCCTGTTGGGAATTGACATGGAGCAATTCCTCCAAAACGCACAGCAATATCCAGCAGCTCTACAACCATTGACTAAACCACGTGACAAAAAATAAAAAAGATGCACTCCTGAAACACTGTGTAAATACAGCACTATTTAACACTGCTTAATTCCAAGTCTCAGTGCAGCCGTCAGACAAGACTGCTGAATTAAGTGGGATTTGGATTGGGATTGTGTTATTCTGAAAATACGCCTTAGACTGGCAGGAGCCCAGCTCATTGCCTAGGCTCACAGCTGGAAGTCACTGCTTTACCCACAGCTGTCTGCTTTTTTTTTTTTCTTTTTTTTTTTGCCTCACCCTTCTCTCTCAGGTATTTTATTTGCATGTGGAAGAGGTTATCTATACAGAAGTCAAAATGAGTAAATTGAGTTGTAGGATTTGAACCTTAACTATTGGCATATGCAGTTACCTGAAAATCAGTGCTCAGGATGTTCCCTCCTGCCAAAATACCCAACATAAGGAAATTTATATAAGGGTTTCTCTGGTGGCTTTTCTTTTTTCCTTCAGATTCCCTTTGTGTATTGCCATTTTAGCTGTTGCAGGCATGCAAACTGCAGACACTCTGTTTTACTTCCTGATCTTCATCTTTAGCAGCGCATACTGCTGAGGGTTGAAATCAGTGCGAGGTGATGTCCTGAGATGCCTCATGGTGCTGGGATTTAAATGCTCGGTGACTGGTACAGCCAGCAGCTGACACTCCAGAGCAGGCCGTGGCTGCGTGGTGGTTGGTGCCACAGTGGCCACAATGACCTCAAGTCCTGGGATAAAACTTCCGTGTAATCTTTGCTTTGGAGTTTGCTCTTTTCTCAGGAGAGCTCTGCAGCAAGTATGGTGTGAACTTCAGGAGGGAACAGAGCAGTATTTGTGAAAATCTGATGTGCTCTTTGTAGGTTGATTTGCAACAAATGAAAGGAAAACTGAGTTTTCTGACACTCTTGTTCATCTGTAATTGAGTGCAGAGAGGCACAACAAATATTTGGTCTCTTTTCATTTCCATTTTTGTATCACGAAGATTGCAGATCAAAGTTGTTTATTAGCATGGTTTTGAGGACAGCTATTTTTATTAGTTACTACTCTGATTTACCTTTTCCAAGGTTATTTGTTTTCAAGTAGGATGACAGAGTGAGTCTTGAGGGGTAGAGTCTCTGCAGGTGCTGGCCACAGGCTAGAAATGAAAAGCTGCGATCTCAATCTTTTTTTTTCCCATTAGTGTAAAAAAAAAAAAAAAAAAAAGGTCATCACAGGTAGGTGAAAATCTTTGGGTCATTTAACAGTACCACCTTGTTTCTCTAAGATCACTATGACTCTGGGAAGTGAGCTGTGGCCACTGTGTCCTTATCATTTCTGTTAAACTTGGATGATGGCTTTCACTGACTTTGAAAATAGTCAGGATGAGTAGCTGCGGAGCAGTGCACGCGTTGCTGCTTGCTCTAGGTAGCTTTGTTAGTAGGGACTGTTAGGATTACAGTCAGGCAAGGAGGAGTTGTAAAAACTGCGAGTAGGAGCTGTGAAAACTGTTGTGTTGTTACCACGTATCCTTTGTGTCTGATAAAGCAAAGCCAAGACAACAGCTAATTTATTTTTATGCTGATGGAGAAATGAATTGGGACATGGCTTACTGTGGAGGATCAAGACCACTGAGAGATCAGTGGAAAGCAGGCTTATGAGCACATCCATACAGATGCTGCTTGGGCAGTTGCTAGATAATCTTGGCAGTATCAGGGCAACAGGACTGTCACCAGTGGATTTGTTTCTTTGTTTGTGATACTTTTAATATACAAATATACATGTGTGTGTGTTTTATATCAAGGGACATTGCAGCATAAGTAGCAGTGAATGAACATCTTGTGGGTGTCATTTGTGAGTAAACAATTCTTATGGATACTTTGAATGCTAACCAGTAGGATTTTTTAGTCTGCTGTGTTGAATTTGAACTTCTTTTTTTTTTTTTAAATAAATCCAAGTTTTTATAGTTAGAAATGTCATTTGGCACAAACCTTACTGGGAATACTATTTGCTCTGTAATCAGTTGGTTTTTTTTCTTTTTCAGTGACTCTCAGCAACCCTGTGGAAAAAGGTATGTACATTTAATTTATAATGTGATATTAAGTGCTTGTGTAAAAAGATTCATGAATATTTTAAATAAAATGCCCAAAATACAGTCCAGGAATTTTTTTTCAACTTACATATTCTTGCAGTGTTTCCCTTCTGTAATTACACATCATTATGACGTATTGATTTAAAGATCAAAGCCGAAATTTCCTTAAGTGGTATATTCTTTATTGCAGCGCTGGATGCACGGGGGATCCTTCCGCCTATCGTGCATGTCCGAAGTGACAAAATATCTCATATTTATACAGCAAAACAATGAATATTCAATTAGCATGCATACATATTCATCACCTAACCCCGCCTACCCTCGCTTCGTATGCTAATTAGCTTATCAGTCCTTGCGCTTGCGCAAAGCCTTCCAAGAATTGTGGGCCGGGGTCTTCAGGATGTGGGCAGTGGTCGTTGGGAGGAAGGCCGTAGGTCTTCCTCGTAATGCACTTTTCACCTTTGCTTAATCAGTTGTTTTCCAAGCTGTAAAAATGCTGAGTTGGCTTTCAATTTAACTGGGGGTCGGCCGATAACAGGAAGTCTCAGTTAACAAGACAACACAATTGACTCAAGTTATCTCAAGTCTCAGCCTGACTAACGGTTAACAGATACTGGGATGTTTTCAAATAACAAGATGCTTAAACATAACAAAAGGTCTACAGATAACAAGATGTCGTTTACTTTGTCCCTGCTAACTTTTAACCACAAGTTTTATTCTATCCTAAAGTGAGTTTATACTATATCATTCCCCCCTTTTCTGGAAAATCTAGTAAATTCTTTTACTTAATACGGAAATTTTCTTCCCAGTCTTTATGATATGTACCCCTCAATACCTTGCCATGCACATTTGTCAAGGAGGCTAACATGGACATTCGTTGTAACAATTTCCAATTCCAAACAAGTAACACAAAAGACAATATTAAACTTATACCAACCAATATCAATAAAACAATAATTGGGTGACTCAATGTGTTCAAAATCCCAGTTGCAGTTGGCGACCATCCAAAAAGTGTATCCCACCAGTTGTGACTTGTGTCTCGTTTCACTCTCTGCAAAACTCTGCTTATTTCCTTTGTATCATGATGGACAGTAATTAGAGTCTTCTCTCCATTTTCCTGAATACCTTTTAAAATTCTAATCAGGTCTTGGTGTTTAACTAGTTGCTTCACTAGTGTGAGGTTCATCCCAATAGGTGTAGGTAGTAACTTATGATACATTGTGTTGTTAGACTTGATCAGCTGGTGGGATACCACTGGTGCTAAATATAGAAAATCACACCCGACGATTCTAACAAAGTTACAAATACAAAAATTAGAATGATTTTTGCTATGGAGAGTTATATTCTCCTTGTCTATTTCTACAAAATCACAAGCAGTTCTTAAACACACGCACCCTTTACCAACATATACAAGCACAGTCTTTTGACTGGTATTTGGATGAATTTCAAAGTGGCAGATACCTTGCTCCGTGTCAAAACATACATCCTGAGCCTCAATTGTATTGCTTTCACAAATAAATCCTCGTTGTTCCCCGGTAACACATGATTCTAGATTTACAGACTGCCGTTTCCCATTCTCCATCCGTATAGTAAGCACGAAGGCAGTAGCCATGTTAATAATGGGCATAAGTACAATTTACCAGGGTCCACGAGGACTGGAACTTCTCAAAATCATTGGCATTGTCCCAGACTGCCTTTTGGACTTCAGCCGGAAAAATGCCTTTACTTCCTTCCCTAATGATCAAGGCAGCCGTTGCCTGCAACCATAACTGTGCTTGCATACAACTAAGAGCTCAGGATACATTATCTTGTGTCCACTCTTCTCCTAATTTTCACCATTCTGATGGTTTTTATAAATAGTTACCATTTGTTCGCCAGATGACCATAACTGATAACTTTCCATTAAAGTTCTTATCCTCTGTTGTTACGGCTTTAGTTCAAGGCCACCCACCATTCTCTATTATCACAGAGGCACCTTCTTGAATCACAATTACAACTATAAGCCATAAAAACAAAACAATTCTATGAACAAATTTTCTACCAACTATATTACCAAATACTCCCGACCATAATGTCCTCATCTTGATCGACTAAGCTTTAGTTTCAGTTCATTGTCACCTAGTGTTACTTTTCAAGGAGCTCCTGGAGCCTTCTTCACTCGGGAATAGTGGATTCAAGCGGTTTGTTCTCTAATCTTGATAGCAGTGTGAGTTGTCAGCAACACTTGATACAGTCCATTCCATTTCTCCTCTAGGGGTTGTCCTGAAAAAATCTTTATATATACATAGTCCCCAGGCTTAAAGGGGTGGATTGGTTGATCCAACCCTCTAGCTCTGGTCCCTAACACAAATTTATGTACTTTATTTAATTGTTTTTGAAGTTCAGTTATATAAGTATATAAATATTCTGATCCCAGCTGCGTTAGATCCTCCCCACTAAATAGAAATTGATATGGCCTTCCATATAAAATTTCAAAGGGGCTCAAATTCTCTTTTACTCTAGGTTTAACTCTAATTCTGAGTAATGCTAAAGGGAGGGATTGAGGCCATGACAAATTAGCCTCTTGTCCGATTTTAGCTATTTGTTGTTTAATTAAATGGTTCATTTTTTCTACCTGTCCACTTGCCTGTGGTCTATAAGGGGTATGTAGTTGCCAATCTATCTTTAAGATCTTACTTATCTGTTGTACCACTTGTGCACAAAAATGTGAACCTCTATCAGAAGACATTGCTACTGGAATCCCGTAGCGTGGTATTATTTCATTTAACAAGACTTTAACCACTTCTCTTGCTTTGTTTGTTCGACAGGGAAAAGCTTCGGGCCAACCAGAAAATGTGTCAGTCAAAACCAGTAAATAACGAAACCCCCCTTTTCTAGGGAGTTCTGAAAAATCAATTTGCCACTGTTGTCCTGGATAATTTCCTTTACTAATTATTCCAAATTTTATTCTATTCTTAGTATTGGGGTTGTTACGTAAACAGATGCTACATTGTTGAGTTACTTGTTTTATTGTTGTGTATAAATTTCGTCCTACTAATGTCTGACTCATGCTCTTATGCAATGTGTCAGCTCCCCAATGTGTTTTATTATGTTCTGTGAGAACTATGGGCCGTATCAAATTAGAGGGTATTATCACACGGTTATCTTTTAAATATACCCATCCATCTGGTTTCCTTTTACCTTTCAAATCTTCAATTAATTTTAAGTCTTCTTTTGTATAATTTGGTTTTTGGTCCCTGTACATAGTTTGGATTTTACCGTCTGGTATCAAAGACATTGCCTTCACCTCAATTATTTCAGCTGCCCGTTTAGCCTCCTGATCTGCCAATCGATTTCCAATTTCAAAATCAGCATTCCCCTTTTGGTGTCCCCGACAATGCATGATAGCTACCTTTTCTGGTTGTTTTACTGCCTCTAACAACCTTAAAATTTCTTCAGCATGTTTTATCCCTGGGCAGTCAACAATCCACGTTCTTTCCAAATTGCTCCATGAGCATGTACCACGCCGAATGCATATTTAGAATCTGTCCAAATATTTATTTTCCTTCCTGCTGCCAGTTCCAGTGCTCACGTAAGTGCAATTACCTGTGCTTTCTGGGTGGACGTCCCAGGGAGTAATGGTTTAGACTCGATTACCTGTTGAGCAGTTGTAACAGCATATCCTGCCTTACGTTGTCCTTGTTTTACAAAGCTGTTCCCATCAGTATACCAAGATTCATCAGCATCTTCTAAAGGTTCCTCCTTAAGATCAGGTCGACTAGAATACACAGTCTCCATTGTTTCTATACAATCATGAGTTATAGGTTCATCCAGAGTTCCGCTAAGGAAAGAAGCTGGATTTACGACGTTAGTGACCACAATTTCCACATCATCTTGTTCTACTAATATTGCTTGATATTTTAAAATCTCTGTGGTGAAAGCCAATGGTTTCCTTTTTGTTCCAAAACTGTTGAGACCGTATGGGAGACTAACACTATCATTTTCTGTCCCATTGTAAACTTCCGAGCTTCTTGTATATTGATAACAACAGCTGCAACAGCTCGAAGGCATCCGGGCCATCCTTTACTTACTTCATCTAATTGTTTAGAGAAGTAAGCTACTGCTCGTTTATAGGGACCCAATCTTTGTGCTAGTACTCCCAAAGCTATCCCTTGTCTCTCATGAGAAAACAACCAGAAGGGTTTCGAAAGATCCGGTAATCCCAAAGCTGGAGCTTGCATCAATTCTCGTTTAAGTTGTTTGAAGGCGTTTCGTGCTTCTCTAGTCCAGACTAACTTTGACTGATTACTCTTTATCAATTCATATAGAGGCTTTACCATTAGTCCATAATTATAAATCCAAAGGCGACACCAACCTGTCATTCCTAGAAAGGTTCGTAGCTCCTTTACCATTTGGGGTTCTGAGTCTGGCAAATGACTTCCTTACGTTCAGTTCCTAGTTCTCGCTGACCTCCCGAAATTCCAAATCCCAAGTAGGTCACGTGTTGTTGAACCAGCTGGACTTTCTGTTGAGAGACTCGTTATCCATTTAAACCCAGAAAATTAAGGAGACTTATAGTCCATTGAATACAACTCTCTTTAGTCTCGGTAGCTATTAAGAGATCATCTACGTATTGTAACAAAGCCCCTTCAGTGTCCGGAGGTATCCAAGTTTCAAGTTCCTTTGCTAATTGGTTTCCAAAAATAGTGGGGCTATTCTTGAATCCTTGTGGTAGCACTGTCCACATTAACTGTGTCTTTCTGCCTGAGTCAGGGTTTTCCCATTCAAAGGCAAATAGGTTTTGGCTTTCAGTGGCTAAAGGTAGGCAGAAGAAGGCATCTTTTAAGTCCAGTACGGTAAATCAGACTTGACTATTCCTTAATTTAGTCAGCAAAGTATAAGGGTTTGCCACTACTGGATGTATATCCACAGTGATCTTATTTATGGCCCTCAGATCCTGAACTAGCCTATATCTTTTTCCATCTGCCTTTTTAATTGGC